CATGATGCGCATCAGCAGGATCGAATCCACAAATTGATTAGCATGGGGGGCGGCAACAATGATGACGGGGCCCCGCTTGGGGATCCGCCATGCACCGCGAGAGTAGACCTCGCGGAAGAAAATGTCCAGACAGAGGGTGAAAATCCACACCCCCAGGTCATATAGCCACGGGATCATATATCTCCGAGCCATGGCTGCGTCTTGGGTTACTCGAACTTGTTGAGACCGAGAAAAGAGAAGAGTAGAGAAAAAGCAAATATCGTCAATATTGCCGCGGGGTGTGCCTCGTTACTGTATCCCTCAACTCATGACCGCGGGGTTGAAACGCTTTATCGGCCGGTGAGTGTGACGGGAGGTGACGTTGCTGCGGGTTTTCGGTTTTCTTTCTGGGGACAGCCAGCGCGTGCGCGCGTTGATAGTCGTCTAGCACGCAGACTGGGCGGATGAGGCGATAGTCGGACAGCTTTTCCCACTGGCGTCGACACTATGCCGCCCAAGACAGGATACACTGCAGCTACTGAAGCAGTCGTTGGTTGGGAATGCAGCTGGAGATGCAGCGGAAGAAGGAAAGTTCTTGCGAAATAAATCAAGAATTGAGCGCAGAATGATGCGAATCGAACGATCTCCGGAGGAATTCGGATGCTGGAGCTAGCGTTGATTAGGTAAGTTACTCCGTCGATCTGGACCTCTCCGACCGACACAGAAACGGTTGGGACCCAACACTGGGGACAAAGAGTTGGGAAGTTTGATATTGTAGCATGTACAGTACGTAGTACAGTAGATAAGGAGGAGGTCGGGGGTCTGGAACAATGCTCTGATACCAATCAGGGTCCTTAACGGTTGAAAATCGGGACGCGTGTTGGCTCTCCGGGGAGGCGCGCGGGGCTGCATGATGTACAGTGTAGTCACGTGATATGACACCGTTACGTCTGACCGGACTCGGAAGGAGCTAGCGCCGATCACGGCGGTTTCCCCGACTCCGAGGGGTCTTCCAGTTGGCAATGCTCGCTCTAATACGAGGTGGAAATACGGTCTTGACTTGACTTGCTATCGTACACGGGTTTTCTGACCAGGGATCATCTAAACCTTCTCGGCCTCAGCCAATAGTTCTTCAATCTTGAAATTCTGCACGTCACCCCGAGTGAACATGCGTAACAATTCTCCCTTGCGCCCACTAGCTTGTCCACCGAAGTCATAGAATCGCTGCACGCAGCTAACCAGCCAGCTGGCATCCGTGATAGAAACACCTGAGTCCGGCATCACCTGACCATGCATAAGGACCAGTCCCTTATCGTCCGCGAGATCAAGATGGTGGGTAATGGTAGTATGCGGCTGGGCAAAGGAGCCATGCAACTTGTAGGCGGCAAGATGCGTGAAGATGATTGTGGAAGTGTGGGCGTTGACAAGTGAAGCATGGGTGGCAGATGGAGATGGGGCTGATGCCGGGGGGTGGAAGGCCCACTGGAGGAAATGGATGTCTGCACCACCATTGGCATTCTCGCTGTTCTCACCCTCCGCGGCCTCGGACTGCGTCGCATTGCGTGGTAGAGGTAGAATAAACTGAGGGTTCTGGCGCGCGGCAGACACAATGCGCTGGTACGTCTCCACGGGAATACAGGCACAGATGGAGTAGGAGTTATTGGCGTGCCGGAGGCGCCAGAGGGTTTCGATTTCCTTGGGTGGCAGACTGCGGATCTTCTCGACGTCGAGGAAAGAATCGAGGCCTTTAATGCCACCTGATTTCGCGGAGGTCGTAGCCTTTATCGCAGCCTGAGCTTGAGGGGAGGGAGGTGGGGTTGGAAGGGGAGGAGGCCCGGTGGTGGAGGGAGACGGTGTCGATGGTTCGGGGGTGATTGAGGTGGATGCTTTACGGCGAAAGTCTTGGATCTTTTCCTTGTAGGCATCCTTCAGCGATTCGATATTCTCATGACCCTCCCTGATAGTTTCCATATGAGACTTGTGATCGCGAGGCTTTGAGGATTGCTATTGACTCACTGTTGGGCTTTCTGGTCAAGCTTGGCCTTGTACCTGTCCAGCACCTGCTTGGGGTCATGGTGTGTCGCAAGGAAGCGGACATCATGTACTTGAGCCCACCTCCTTTGCTGATAGCGCAGGAAAGAGGTCCTGCTCCGAGATAGTGACTGGAAAGCTGATGAGCGAAAGGAGGACATTTTCAAGGCTGGAGCTCTGCCGCGGAGTTGGCGAGTTCAGGTTCGAAAAAGTGCCAGAGCCGACGGTTCAGTTTAAAATGCTTATATAAGCACAGCATCTTAATGTAATCGGACACCGAGCCGGCGCAACACCAAGCCGGCGGCGGTCTGCCGCCGCCTTGCTAACTGCCTTACTGGCCGCTTTCTAAGGCTATTAAACTACTAATAAAAGGCTATATATATTAATTCTTATTATTTTTATAAGAGTATTTTAAGCAATTGTATTTTTTATTTTTATATATACTGCAGCGGGCTGGCCGGTGTATCCTAGCTGGCCTTAATACTACAGTTTAAATTACTTTAACTTTTTATATCTAAACTATATTAAAGCCCTTTTGGCCTGTTAAAGTACTTCTATACTATATATAATAATATAAGGCCTTTTTCTTTTCTTTTTTACTTACTTAGATAGACTGGAACTGCTTAATTTATTATTAAAGTAGAACTATATTCTATATAAACTATTCTACAGCCTTAATTACTTTTTTAATAATTTTATATAAAACTATTAATACCAGATTTTAATCTATAAGTTTTTATAGTTCTTATTTCTATCTTCTAAGTTTATATAAATTTACAGGTGTTTTTCTAAAATAAAAAAACTAAGTAAAATATAAGAATATTAGTAGACTTAGTATTTTTAATTAAATCTGTAGTATTAAAAGAACCTTTTAAAAATTTAAAAAAATAAGGCCGGTAGTACAGAATCTACTAAGTATATTAATATTAAAAAAGGCCTTGGTATATATACTATAATATAACTGTAAAAAATTAAGCTTAATAATTAATTTTTTTTATAATAAATAATCTTAGATATATACTGGTTATATAACTTTTTTAATAGTCTAAAGTATATAATATTAAGCAGCTGCAGTTTATATAATAAGTAGACTAGTATATATAAAAAAATAATTTTCTATACTATACAGAATTAATTAAACTACTAAGTTGTATAACTGTTATAGCTGTTAAAAATTAATATATAATATTTACTAACAGTTTTTAAAACTATATATCTGTTAAATATATTTTAAAGCTAGTTAAAGCTAAGTTTATTAGTAGTTTAGTTATTTTTATTAATATTTAAATAATATAATTTTAAATAGACTTTATACTATATTAATTAATAATTCTATACTATAAAGATAATCTACAGTAGCAGTACTATTTTTAAAACTAAAATTATAATAATTAAAATTACTTATTTATAGTTTTTTAGCTGTATATATTTAGTATATAATTCTTATATTTTTAAGCTATAGATTATATAAGCAGTTAAAGCAACTTTTATCTAAAATCTAGTCTTATTTATATTTTATATATTTTTATTAAAAATACTATATTTTTAAACTATATTACAAATAAGATTAAACTATCTTTAAATAAAATAAAAATCCTTATATTTAGTATATTAATAATTATACTTTAATATAAACTTAGATGTTAATTTTAGATAATATTTAATAAAATAAATAATTTAATATTTTAATATAGTGCCCTGTTAATTTAGCTTTAACTTTGCTTAATATAGCAGCTAAGTAGAGAATTAAGTATTACAGATTTTAAAAAACAGCCCTTAGTAGACTATATTAAAAAGCTACTGCTTTAATATATTTTTTTAATTATAGATAGCTTTCTATAATTAGCATCTTTTTTAGTATATAGTTTAATACTATTTAAATAATTTTTAAAAGTACTTATTTTAATATTAAATACAGCAGCGCAGGCGGTTTTTGTAGTAAACTTTTTACTTTTAAAAGCCTTAACAGTAAAAGTTAAATATTTATCTATATCGGCTATATTAATATACAAAGAAAAACACCAAAAGAATTATAAGATATTTTAATATAGGGCGGTTTGGGCAAGTTCTTTGACTTTAAATTACTGGGGGTGCAAGACGCGGCGCGGCGGCCGCCGGCTTGGTGTCGCGCCGGCTCGGTGTCCGATTACGTTAACTAAGGTTAACTTAGTCTTATTTTTTATTCCAGCCATTAAGTACAGTACATGAAAACTTACCATAAACTTTTCAGACTGAATGTGGGTGTACTGTACATCAGGACAGAATAATTAGCTACAGCACTGGTGAATTGGCTCAGACGTGTGGCTTATCGTACCCAGATTGATGGTTGACCATGCCATCCTGTACATGCATCTCAACCTCCATTCTCTTGATCATTAACCCAGATAAGGTACCTGACAGAGCTCAGCGCTAGTGGTTACTTATAGACTAGCACTTGTATACAGCATGCACTGCTGCTCCAGATGGGCGATATTGCCGTCACTGCGGGCCCTCCCACTGGGTTGGGGTAGAATTCAATCAATTCATACACATCATCGATCGTTGATTATGCCCAAGCATATGTAAAGATATTGTCAATATTCTGGTCTAATTGGCGGCATCATCGGGCGTTCCCCGCTCAGACGCCTATCAGTCAGCTTGGGTGTTGTCCTATGCTATCTCACTCTCGTCCTTTGCCGCAAGGGGTTAGTTAGCAGTGGGTTAATCTATACGTCCAGCGGTGGGCACTAATTACCAGGTAGCGCCCCCTCTCCTTACCCAGTAGCATACCTCATCCTCCAGCTCTCTGCTCACCTTTTCCCACTGTTTCCTACTTTACCTCTGTCGACTGGTATTCCGTTCTTGACAGCTTTGAACGCAACGCTATCACTGGGCTAGATCCAATGGCGAACACGTCCGACCCGATAGATGCTCACGATGAGAATGCGCCTCTATTAGAGGCGAACAGAGCTCAACCGGCATCCGCCTCGAGATCACAAAAGCTGACCGTCATGATTGCAGCGTCCATACTCATTCTCGCCGTGGATTTTGGATTCTACTTGACTGCCGCCCCCCAAACCAAGATCTTCGAGAATATTGTCTGCCGGAATTATCTGACTACTTTTGGCGACCCAGCAGACACAGTTCCAGCCGAAGAAATCTGTAAGTCTGAGCCGGTGCAGAGTGAGTTGGCTCTCGTGAATGGATAGAAAGAGACATCCGACGTTTTACCAGGTATGATGACCCGCTGAATCCCATTGTGCCAATGCTGATGGCGCTACATCCTAGGCATTCTGTTGTCTGTCCCGTATGGTGTGTTGGCGGACCGCTGGGGGCGCAAACCGGTCCTCCTTCTTGGTCTTCTGGGAACCCTCCTCGGGGAGCTTTGGGTCCGCATCGTGTGTAAGTGGGAATACGGCCCTTGCTTACATGAACTGTGTTCCGCTAAGGCAATGATAACAAGGCTTTTATTCCACTGTCTTGCCACTGCGGCTGGTCTGGCTGTCAGGAATGTGGAGGCTCATTGGCGGTGGGGACATCACCCTCTCATCTATTGCTCTGGTTATGGTAGCGGACCTGTTCTCCGAGGAAGAGATGTATGCGATAGCCCTTCTATGGATAGTCATACTGTCGCATTTGCTTATTTGCCTCTAGAGCCACAGCCTTGTTCCGCCTGACCAGCATTGTGATTGTGTCCGAAGTCCTAGCCACCCCAGTCAGTGCATATCTAATGACTCGTGATCCATGGCTGCCATTCATGCTCGGACTTGGGGTTGCCACTCTCGGATCATTGGCCGCATTTCTCATGCCAGAAACCCTGAACGACGCCAAATCAAGAATTAACCCGGCGACTGTGACCAGTGAAGACGACACACGGTCGTCTCTGGACGGAAAGACCTCGGTGAGGCAGTATATCAAGGGCAAACTTCAGGACCTTCAGGACTCGGCCAGGTTGATGATCGGCAGCCCAGCCATCGCCATCTGTCTCTTTGCCCTGTTTGTCACGTCCATCAGCAAGCAATCAACGAGCCTCTTGTTGCAATATACGTCGAAACGGTTCGGATGGAGTATTGCCGATGTAAGTGGCATCATCGCCGTCACCTTTCTCTTCAACAAGCGTGATGAGCTCACAATTCTTACAGGCCAGCCTCCTCATCTCCTTGCGCGGTCTCATCGTACTCGCAAACTATCTACTTATCATGCCAGCCTTGTCCTTCCTACTCGTCCGGTATTTCAAACTTTCCGCCTCGCTGAAAGACCTACTCTTGGCACAAGGAAGTAGTTGCGTCTCCGCTCTTGGTTTCTTTGTCATGGCCACCGCCGCATCACGGGCCATTCTCATCCTGGGCATTGTGCTGTTCTCGTTGGGGGCTGCCTTCGCAGTGTCATGCCGCAGCTTTGTCACCTCGCTGGTCCGGCCGGACCGCGTGGGAACTCTCTATTCGTCAGCTGCAGCTATCACGTCATTTGGGATGGTGATTGCCAGTCCACTGCTGGCTTACGCGTTTCGGTTGGGTCTGCGTCTAGGGCCCGCATGGTTCGGGCTGCCATTTCTTTTGGCGGGAGGAATGTATCTTCTTGGTTCCGTGTCCCTGCTTCACCTGAGGGTACCTGATAGAGTTCATGAAGAGTAGCGATAGGCCACGCTTTCAACAGCGTGGCCTAGCCGCACGCAGAAGTAGGTCTATAATGAGAAGCAACTGGCCAAGAACATGGCCAAATACTAGGAACAAACTGCAGCTAGGAACGTAATAACATCTTCAAGGGCAAGAGGGAAGGGCGTAGCTTAGTAAGGACTTATGAGTCCAGGGGTCCGTATGTGGCTATGGAATCAAGTCGCATAGTTTGACTCCAGAAGATCTTTTTATGGTCTTGGGCGTTGAGAGACCGATCAATTGATCATTACTACTGAGTAGATGAAGTCTCTCTGTCAACACTTGTGAACGGCAGGATCAATACAATTTTCCGCAGGACATTCCACAATATCTCTGCAGTCACATGGCTGAAAAGCACACCGACTAATCTATCACCCACCAGAAGGAGATTAGCGGCAGAAGTCTATCTTTTAGACTTCCCTCTTGTCATGGTCTGCAGACTATTCCTGCCATCGACAAGAGCCTGTATTCACGAGAAGTTGGATTGCATGGCGCAGACACCTAATCTTGTTAGATCTCGATCTGAGTCCCGCCGCAGCCATAAGTTCAAGGATTAGCACCATCATGCTCGTACTTGAGGCATTGTCGACGGCTAGCCCCAACGGGGAGGGATCCTCAACCCGCTGTCCTCTCTTTCCTCACAATTCACTACGAAGTTTGACTTGGAAGCTCCTGGCTCCGACAGGGCCCGGATGGCGGTAGTCCCATATCTTGTAAGAATTCAAGCATTGGTTCATAGGGCTGCACTAGAATGTTCGGTGCCGCAGGACCCTGCATAGACTGGGGTCCGGATCTGATTGGTGGTCTAGGGACAGTTTTTGAAGCATTGAGAGCCGTGCGATACGCAGGACGTAGGTCCTTTCGATGCCATCAATTCGAGATTATCGTGGACGCTTGGGTCACGTTGAAGCTATGTTATCTGGGACTGGAGCCACAGACTTGTGATGTTTTCAACCATGAATTCAATTGGACCAGAAAGACATGCACTCACTCCCTACACTGCAACATATAGTTCGCTCGGGGTGTTGATTCGGGATATTACTAGGTAACCGAGAGTTGAAACCACTTCAGGTAGTATAACCTGGTCGATCGACCCGAACGGGGAATTCTCCGAGCGGGGGACGAGGGACTCCCGGTGGAGAGTTGAGCGACGGTGGACGGTGTACATGCAGTACTCCGTACAACTCCTTAACCTCCCCCACGTTTTCGGTTCCCCGAAAGCCAAGAGCCAGAATTTCCCCTCATGCGGACGGAGGAAAGTGGAGGCTATTTTCGCTCTTCTCGGCCACGCACTGGAGGACCCCAATTTCTCCGGCGCTTGACCTGTCTGGGTAAGGTGTTGTGGCTGTCGTCTCCACCAATCGTTGGTCCAACTGTTCAACTGAAGAACTGAAGGGAAAAGAAGCCGGAGGAATCTTTGGCAGTTCCAGTTGTCTTTCTCGGCTATACCGAAAGTTGAAACAGACCAAGTGACATCATGTCAGATTGCAGCTGATGTCTGTGAGTGCATGTTGCATTGCATTGCACTCACGGCTCCTTATCCCTACGAGATGCAGCTGAAGATGCGAGATGAAGGAAGTACAGTACAGTACGTACCTGCTTCGCCTGGGCCGGACTAGAGTAGTCCTGTCGACAATTCCTGGATCCAGCAATGGCTGAAGTCGAACAAAACGGTTGAACCTGAGGCCATCCCACGCGCTTGGCCCCACCGAGGGGTATTGCCTCTTGAAAGTTGAGACCGACTGGCGGGGTAAAATATACTACTTTCTTTCTAGATGTCGTGACTGCTCGCTCCCCCTCCTCTTCTCTCCTCT